ATGCGGGACTCGATCCCAGGACCCTGGGATCATGACCTGAGCCGAAGGCAGACGCTTAACCATCTGAGCCACCCAGGCGCCCCAGGAAATACTTTTTTAAAATAAATGTATGCATATGTGAATTTGGAAAAAAGTATACACACATATACATAACATTAACTCTTAGTCTTCTGTTGATGCTTGTTTCACATATGGATTCAGAAAACCATTTTATTAATTTCAGAGCCTCCCAGTGGACCCCTGCACACAAAGGAAATTTTATTCCAACCCACTAATTCATTTGTATAATACATACATATTGAGTTCCTGCCAGACACTGTCCTAGTTAGTGGGGGATATTGTGTAAGTTATTGTTCCTTCACTACTTATTGTCTACAGGTAAAACACCATGGACCCTGAAACATAAATTGACAAAGCAAGAGAAGCCCAAATTGGAAAAAAAAAGTGACAAAGACAAGAAAGGATAAGAAAAAATCTCCAGAAACAACAACAAAACAAGTAATAGAATGGCAATAAATACATATCGATAACTACTTTGAAAGTGAACGGACTAAATGCTCCAGTCAAAAGACACAGGGTGGCGGAATGGATTAAAAAAACAAGACACATCTATATGCTGCCTACAAGAGACTCATTTTAGATCTAAAGACACCTACAGATTGAAAGTGAGGAGGTGGAGAAACATTTATCACACAAATGGATGTCAAAAGAAAGCCGGAGTAGCAATACTTATATCAGACAAACTAGATTTTATCCCAGATTATAGCAAGGGATGAAGAAGGGCATTATATAATAATAAAGGGGACACTCCAACAAGAAGATATAACAATTGTAAATATTTATACACCCAACCTGGGAGCACCCAGATATATAAAACAATTATTAAACATAAAGGAACTAATTGATAATAACACAATAATAGTAGGGGACTTTAATATTCAACTTACATTAATGAACAGATCATCTAAACAGAAAATAAACATGAAAACAATGGCTTTGAATGACACACTGGACCAGATGGACTTAACAGATAAATGCAGAACTTTCCATCCTAAAACAGCAGAATACATATTCTTTTCAAGTGCACATGGAACATTCTCCAGAATCGGTTGCATTTTAGGTCACAAAACAGGCCTCAACAAATACAAAAAGATTGAAATCATACCATGCACCTTTTCTGATCACAATGTTATGAAACTAGAAGTTATCCACAAGGAAAAATTTAGAACCACAAATACATAGAGGTTAAACAACATGCTACTAAAAATAAATGGGTCAACCAGGAAATCAAAGAAGAAATAAAAAAAAATACATGGAAACAAATGAAAATGAAAACACAACAGTCCAGAACCTATGGGATGAAGCAAAAGCAGTCCAAAGAGGGAAGTATATAGCAATACAGGCCTACCTCAAGCAGTAAGAAAAAATCTCAAACACTCTAACCTTACACCTAAAGGAACTACAGAAGAACAACAAATGAAGCCTAAAGCCAACAGAAGGAAGAAAATAATAAAGATTAGAGCAGAAATAAATTATATAGAAACTAAAAAAAAATACAGTAGAACAGATCAATGAAACCGGGAGCTGGTTCTTTGAAAAAATTAGTGAAATTGATAAACCTCTAGCCAGACTTATCAAAAAGAAAAGAGAAAGGACCCAAATTAATAAAACCACTAATGAGAGAGGAGAAATAACAGCTAATACCACAGAAATACAAATAATTAGAATATTATGAAAAACTATATGTGAACAAATTGAATAACCTAGAAGAAATGGATAAATTCCTAGAAACATATAAACTATCAAAACTGAAACAGAAAAAGATAGAAAACTTGAACATACTGATAACCACCAAAGAAATTGAATCAGTAATCAAAAAACTCCCAACGAACAGAAGTCCAGGGACAATTCTACCAAACACTTAAAGAAGAGTTAATACCTATTCTTCTCAAACTACTCCAAAAATGAAAAAGAGAAGGAAAACTTCCAAACTCATTATATGAGGCCAGCATTACCCTGATATCAAAACTAGATGAAGACACCACTAAAAAAGAGAACTACAGGCCAATATCCCTGATGAACATGGATGCAAAAATTCTCAATAAAATACTTGCAAATTGAATCTATTAAAAGAATCATTCACAACAATCAAGTGAGATTTATTTCTGAGCTGCAAGGGTGGTTCAATATCTGCAAATCATATGATACTTTCAGTAGATGCAGAAAAAGCATTTGACAAAGTACAACATCCATTCATGATAAAAACTCTCAACAAAGTACGGTCGGAGGGAACATTCCTCAACATCATAAAGGCCATATATGAAAAACCCACAGCTAATATCATCCTCAATGAGGAAAACTGAGAGCTTTTCCTCTATAGTCAGGAGCAAGACAGGAATGTCCACTCTCATCAGTTATTTAACATAGTACTGGAAGTCCCAACCACAGCAATTGACAACAAAAAGAAATAAAAGGCATCCAAATTGGCAAGGAAGAAGTCAAACTTTCACTATTTGCAGATGACATGATGCTCTATATAGAAAACCTGAAAGACTCCACCAGAAAATTACTAGAACTGATACATGAATTCAGCAAAGTCACAGGCTATAAAATCACCGTACAGAAATCTGTTGCATTTCTATACACCGATAATGAAGCAGCAGAAAGAGAAATCAAGGAAAAGAATTTTAAAAAGTACATCAAGTGTTTAGTACAGTGTTTGTACAGTATGGTTCTCTAGTACCATAGAGTTAGGGGCTAAGTGATTAATGAGTGGTAAATATTGATATTATCTGATATTGGCATCCTGAAATCTCCATAAACAACCTGAGTTCTCTTTAGTCAGCTAGGTTATATCCCTTGATTCTCTTTTCTCTTTGTTCCAGGTGTTGTTTCATACGTTAGTGAAGACATGGAAGGGTTAAATCATCTTCTCTACTTATTTTACCTGAATTCCAGTTATCAGTCCTGTGTGGGGACTTTGATTGCCTCTCAGTGGGTCTTGACAGCAGCACACTGCTTCTTACCGTAAGTGATGGGGATCTGTCCACTCTGTTCCAAGGCTCCAAGACTCCCTAAATACATGTGTTGGTTTATATACATATTGGTGTGTACCTGCAACTATACCTCTTGGTGTATAACTCTAGAGTATATAATTAGGAGTGGAATTGCTGGATAATAGAGGATGCAGATGTTCACTTTTGCACATCTTCCAGCAATTTATAAGCATTTTCCCACATTGGGTATTGTCAAACATTTTTACTATTTTGCTGATTGTGTCAAATTTCTTGTTATGCTCTTAATTTTTTTATCTTTATTAGTAGTGATGATTGGCATAATTTTTTCTCCTTCTTTTCCTTCTCCACCCTCCTCCTTCTGCTAATAGTGTTTCTTCTGGGAAATTCTCTTTCATGTTTTTTGAACATTTTGTGAATTTTTAAAAAATTGCTTTGTAGGACTTCTATAAATGTTCTAGTTATTACTCTTTTGTCAATTACATATGTTGAAAATATCTTTTTCCAGTTTGTGGCTTGATCTTCTCTTTACAGTGTATTTTGATAAAAGCTCTTAACTTGAGTATAATTCAACCTAACACTTAAATTATCAATCTTTATTTCTGGTAAATAGACTCAAAATGGTTGAAAGACCTCAATGTGAGACAGGAGTCCATCAGACTCCTAAAGGTGAACACAGGCAGCGACCTCTTTGACCTCAGCCACAGCAACTTCTTCCTAGAAACATCGCCAAAGGCAAGGGAAGCAAGGTCAAAAATGAACTATTGGGATTTCATCAAGATAAAAAACTTTTGCACAGCAAAGGAAACAGTCAACAAAACCAAAAGACAACTGACAGAATGGGAGAAGATATTTGCAAATGACATATCAGATAAAGGGCCAGTACCCAAAATCTATAAAGAACTTATGAAACTCAACACCCAAAGAACAAATGATCCAGTCAAGAAATGGGCAGAAGACATGAACAGACATTTCTGTAAAGAAGACATCCAAATGGCCAATGGACACATGAAAAAGTGCTCAACATCACTCGGCATCAGGGAAATCCAAATCAAAACCTCAGTGAGATACCACCTCAGACCAGTCAGACTGGCTAAAATTAACAAGTCAGGAAATGACAGATGTTGGTGAGGATGCAGAGAAAGGGGAACCCTCCTACACTGTTGGTGGGAATGCAAGCTGGTGCAGCCACTCTGGAAAA